GCCGCGGGCCACAGGACCGCCTGGCCGCCGTCCCGCTGGCAACTCATAACATAAGTGCTTACCCTCTTTCTTCTACTCTTTACTTCTATCATGATCGGCGCTAATCGGATGGAGCAGGACACAAGAACGAGATAATGAGGACGACAGCGACGGCCGCTCGTGGCCCGGGAGGGTTGAAACCTCCCCCCCACCAGCGGGCATTCCCAGAACCACTCCCCCCGTCCCACTCCGCCCGGGGCCGCCGCGGCGGATTGAGGACGCCTGGGGCTGGGCAGGGGGGGGGCTTTTCGTGGGGAGCCATGTGGCAGGGAGGGGAAAGGCCTTTCGGCCACCCCTTTCTTGCCTGGGGCCGCCAGCGGCACTCCCACTGGGGGCCCCGCAGACTGACCTCATCCCCGCCTTGCCGCCAGCTGGCACGACCAACAACCGCGCTGCTCCCGAGCTCTTCCCTTTGCATTGCTCGCGCCCGCGCCCGCTAGCCACATATAGGGGCGCGAATACAACGTCCGTTCCCTCACCGTGCGCGAAGACAACGGCGCGCCCCTTCTGGGCACCCTCCGAAGAGACGGCGCTCGTGTCTCAGCACTTTTGCCGCGCCAGTCTTCGTGCGCCGACGACGGATTCAGCGTCCCTTCCTTATTCTCCTCCTCGTATCGATGTCCGCACCTCCTCCTCCTCCTTCTCTTCCTCCTCCTTCTCCTCTTCCTCCTCCTCCTCCTCCTCCTCCTCCTCCTCCTCCTCCTCCTCTCGTTCATCGCCAACTGACCTCACCCTCGCCCCGCCGGCGGCTGGATCGACCCAACTCCAGACACCGCCCCGCCGCCAGCAAGAGCGACTGAACTCCAGGACGAATGACCAGGGGTCGGGGGGCTGCATGGGAGGAGGACGAGGATGAGGGTACTTATTCTTCCCAAGCATCCTGTGGTGTTGGGTCCTCGCTTTGAAGAGACGGTCCCCGCGTTCTTCTCCTCTCCTTCCTCTTCCTCCCCCTCCTCCCGCCTCCTTGCGTTCCACCCACCCAGTACAGCGCTTCGTGGCCCCATAGGGAGCTCCAACGACGGCCCAAACCCTACCGCCCGCATGCGTCCCCCCTATCCAGTATAGCGTTTCGCGGCCCCATAACCGCATGCCGATGATAATAAAGGGACCCCTCCCTTCAGTGTTTAGAGTTGATTATCGTCGCCCTATACAAAATTCAAATTGGGCGGCGAGCGCTGAGGCCGAACTTCATTATCACCTCGAAACGCTATGTTGAGATAGCAACATCAAGCGATGTTGATATAGCAACATCAAGCGAAGCGATCACACTTTTTCAGGATGTGTCAAGCGAAACCAATAATTTTGGGAGGCAGACTCAAACGAAACGAGCAATGTTCTTATTATTATTATACTTTCCTCTTCTTCTTTTATATTTCTATCTGTCCTCACGCTCGCCTGAACTTTTTTATCCCTGGGGTTGATTATCCATGGAAATGAAGCACATGAGCTACCCTACACGAGCACTTAAACAAATCAATTTTCATAAAGCGCTTGTAAATTAAAATTGATAGATTTGTAACTTTGGATTTTTCCTTTCTTCGTCCTCTTCTTATTCTCCTCTTCTTCTTTCTTATTATTATACTGTATTCTTCTTCTTTTATATTTCTCTCTGTCCCCACGCTCGCCTGAACTTTTTTATCTCTGGGGTTGATTATCCATGGAAATTGAGGCACATGAGCTACCCTACACAAGCACTTACACAAAAACAATTTTCATGAGAGATAAGCCATTGTTGAGGATATTTCTATGAAAACTAAACGCCAAGGATGTCTCAAAACGTGCTCGGCTTGGTCTCCTCTTGATCATCTCTTACTTCGAGATTATGCTGAGGTCTGCCGGGCTACTTTTATTATCTCTCCCTGAACCCCGAACTTTATTATCCCCTAGTGTTTATTCTCACGGGCATGAGGTTAGGGAGCTCCACCGAAGGTTCCAGGTCTACCGCCCGCATGCGTCCCCCCCACCCAGTAGAGCGCTTCGTGGCCCCATAGGGAGCCCCCGGACGGCCCCAGTGTTACCGCCCCATAGGGCGCTCCACCAAAGGTCCCAGCGCTACCTACCGCCCGCATGCGTCCCCCCACCCATTACAGCGGTTCGTGGCCACATAGGGAGCTCCACCGAAGGTCCCAGCGCTACCGCCCGCATACGTCCCCCCCCCACCCAGTACAGTGTTTCGTGGCCGCATGGGGAGCTCCACCGACCGCCCCAGTGCTACCACCAGCATGTGTCCCCCCTACCCACTACAGCGCTTCGTGGCCCCATCGGGAGCTCCAACGACGGCCCCAGTACTACCGCCCGCATGCGTCCCCCCCCCACCCATTAGAGCGTTTCGCGGCCCCATAGGGAGCTCCACCGAAGGTCCCAGCGCTACCGCCCGCATGCGTCCCCCCCACCCATTACAGCGGTTCGTGGCCACATAGGGAGTTCCACCGAAGAAGATGTTCACAATTGCAGTACCCACAACTGCATATGGCTGGGTCCGTCGCCATGGTGATTTTTCTTGTCCGTTCTCCCTGGTGACACGGCGCCGCTGGAAAGTCGATCACCCCCCCCAGCAACAGCTGTTGCTGGTGGTGGGGAGGCCGCGCTCGTTGAACCCAGAGGCCATCAGTAATCAGGAGGAGGAGCAGCAGCAGCAGGAGCAAAAAGAGAACGGACAGTAGGAGAAGACAGGAGAGGGAAGGGATGGGAAAAGGAGGGGATGAGGATTAGGATAGGGAGGGCAGAGGGGGGGAAAGGAGGATGGCGAGGCGAGGTGAGGGGAAGCGGGGAAGGGGTGGAGAAGGAAGATGGATGACGAAGAGGAGGAAGAGGCGCAGGAGGAGAAGGAGGATAAGGAAGAGTAGGAAGAGCTGGGGGCAGGCACGCAGTGAAGAAAGGACGAGGAGGATAATGAAGAGACAGGGGAAGATAAGGGAAAGGGAACAAAGAAGGGCGCAACGATTCGGGCGAGGAAGTCGTCCGCGGGCGAAGGGGATAAGCGCCTGCCGCCGCGCCTCTTGTGGCGGTATGGGCCGAGTTTAATTGGCAGGGGTGACGTTGCCCTCGCCCCTGGCGCGGTCGAAAGGAGGACCCCGAGTGGAAAAGCTGGCGGGTTGTGGTGACCAGGGTGTGGCGCACTCCGTCTGCACCCCCGAAACGGACAAGAAACTCTGGCAGCTAGCGCGTTTTGGCAGGTAGCGCTTCGGAACAGTGAGAAGAGAAGCCGCCGCCGTGGGGCACCCCCCTCGGCGGCCCACCGCAAGGGCCCCTCCATGGAAAAGGCATCAGACTTTCACACGGGTCGGTGTGACAACGGGTGCAAACAGCCGTGCCCAACGGGGCGCGAAAGCACCCGAGAACCAGCGGCCGTGCAAGCACGGCCGCCCCCAGTTCAACCGGCCCAGCGCCAGCGTCACCAAAAGGCGCCGCCAGCAGGAACAGGGGATGGGGCCTTGCCACCCCTCTGCGCACGAAGGGGTTTACACCCCCTGTGGGGGCCCGAATGCGGAAAACCTGAAAAGGCCTCAGCGCGAAAGGAAGCCCGGCCCCTGGTCGCAACCCGCTCACGAGGTGTATCCAGGGGCCCTAACACGACGGTGCAAGCCATATTCCGAATGGGCTGGTCCTGACCTTGCGCGGGCAATGCATCTGGTGGCGCACACCCGAAATGAGGCAGATAGGAGACGGCAGCCGAAAACGATGTTCATGGCAGCGGCGCCGTGAGGCACCATGGAGCATGGGGAAGTGCCCCCAAGAGACAGCGAGCCGTCTGTCAGTCTACAGAGGGCGTCGCATTGCAGGGTCGGACGAAGACGTCGTCGTCGTGGCACGTCGGGCCCCAGAGGCGGCCGAAGGCTGCAAGCCAGGACAGGCGTCGATGATCGGCGTCGTCCGCTTCCGTGGTGGGGCGTCGGAAAAGGCGTGCCTGACCATCGCACGCGTGGCGTCATGGTTGGCGCCAAGGGTGTCGTCAACGCAGAAAGTGAGGGCATAGACGCCGCATGCCAGAGTGAGTCGTGCGGTCCCCGGCAAGGCGCGTGGCAGGGAGCGCAGTGTTCGCGCGCGAAGGTTGAGGCATTGGTCCATTGCCAACGTCTCGGCCTAGGACAGGACCTGTTCCGCAGTCCCAGAGGCCCGAGGTCGGGTCGGAAGCCGGTAACCGACGCGGGGTGGATCAGGTGTGCGGCGGGCGCCCAAAGTCAGGCAGCGCGATGGCTTGGTGTGAGCGGCGGCCGCCGGGTGCCGTGGGGGGGGCTCAGGCCTGGCTTACGCGGCGGAGCCGCCGTCTCTGGCGGGACGGCCTGGTGGCCTCCGCCTCCCCCGACCCCGCGTCCCAAGTGGTGCGCCCACGAGGACGGTGAGCACGCCAACCTCTTCGCAGGACGCGGTGCGGGGGATGGCGCGCATGACAGCGCGCGGTCTGGCTGTCGCGTGGGCCCGGTGGCCCTGCTGGGGGGGGGGCCCATGGCGAGCGTCGGCCACTCAGCGAGCGGGTCGCTAGTAACCGCGGTGGGGTGGCGTCGGCATGCGGCTGCCTGGTCGTCGGGCTTGCGCGTCGGTCGGTCGACGTTCGTTCGGCGGCCGTCGGCGGCGGGCGTCAGCGCACTTTCGTCAGGCGGTCGTCGGGCAGTCTACGGACGGGCGGCGGGCGGGCGCGGTCGGTCGTCGGACGCCAGTCTGCCAGTCCGCGGCGGGATGACTTGTCGCCGCATGGGGGGGGGGGGGGCGTCAGGCTGGGCGCGTGCAGGTGGGCAGTGTTGCCGTTGGTCAACTGGGCCACCCAGTGCTGACTGCGCCCCCCCATTCGGTCGACGACGGTGCCGTGGTGGCCATTGATGGGTTGCGTTCCTGTTCAGTAACCGTCGCCCCGGTTCCTTCGCGGACGGATGGAGGCAACAAGGGGATCGGAAGAGAGCGGCCGGCGTCGGCGGCCAGAGCGCCAGCCCGTTCGGCCGACGCTTTGGCGCAGGTGGGCTGTGATGGCCCCGACGAGGTGGGTGACGGCGCTGGCGTTGTCGCTGGCGGCCAAGCAGTGGCGACGCTCGCAGCGGCGCCCAGGTGACCAGCTGGAGGGTCACCAAGCGGATGCGGACGCGGCCCGCTTTGGGGCGGCCGTGGTGGCGCCGCTCGCCGGGGGGCCTCTCAGGGCAAGCAAGCAAGCAAGCAAGAAGGCCATGTATCTTGAAGGACGCGTGGGCAGGCAAGGACACTCATGGTTCCTGCCGTGATTCGCTGCGACAGACAATCGGCGCCAGAGCGGATTGGACTAAACAGCCCGAGAGGAGGAGGAGGAGGAGGAGGAGGAGGAGGAGGAGGAGGAGGAGGTGGAGGAGGAGGAGGAGGAGGAGGAGGGGGAAGAGGGGGAGGACCTGCATGCAATGAGAAATGATGGAAATCATACCATTCTATACACTTCTGTTGCCCACTGCTGCCGGGGGCGGCCTCGCCGCCGAGCGGTCGCCCAGCTTCGCGGGGTCCCGTCCGGGTTGCACAGGACCTCCCTGACCAGGGAACCGGCGCTGTTGTTCGCGATCTTGTTGTACTACAGGGCGATTTGCCTCGAGGCCAGGATGTTCGAGAGCGGTAGGGCTACTGCTATGTGTAGGACATCGGGATGCTCGGCAAAGGCTCCGAGGTGGTCCTGCAGGAGTCGGCGGGTGAGCTGTCGGTCAGCTTGCGCGCTCGCTTGCGAGGGGTCTTGGAAATATCGCGGCAGCTTCAACGTGCGACCTGACATGCAACGCGGCCCGTGGTGGTTGCGATTTGCCTGCTGGTCTTGCCGGGCTGCGTCGCGGTGGCTGGCGCCGCGCGGGGATGAGCGTTGGCGCGCGGGTAGCAGACGGTCGTCGATTCTCGCTGTAAGAGGTCGGCCAGTCGACAGTCGGTCGACGGCGGTCGTTCTGCCGGTCGGAGGACGGTCGTCGGCGGTCAACGGACGGTCGTCGCTGGGTAGCGGACGGCCAGCAGACGGCCAGCGCGTGGTCGACATTCGGGTCGTCGTCGTTTGGCTTGTCTCAGGAGGGAAAGAAACACACAGACACAATTCATCGTCGATCCCCAAGAAAATATGGGAAAATATGGGAATTGGGCGGGAAGACAAAAGCTCAAAAAGTATAGGAAAATATGGGGAATCATTTTATTTGTGTGTATTTATGTGTGTGTCTCAGGGCCCCTTCATTGTCGTCCGACGGTCGGCAGACGGTCGGCGGACGTCGTTGGGTCCGCGCGGATCCTCTACCCAGCGATTGGAAGGGACGTGCGCGGGCCTGGTGGCGCAAGTGGCTGGCGGTGCAACGTGGTCCTGGTGGTCTCCGAGGCCGATGCCACTACGGACTGCGTCATGGGTGACTTCACGGAGACTAGCTGGAGCGCTGGCCTGGCAGCAACATTGAGCGGATCAAGCGTGGGTCTTCAGACGCTCGGCGGGAGGGTCGCAGTCAACCACGGTGGATGGATTGGCTGCGGCGTGGGCCTGGTGACCCACGTGGCTGGTTCCCCTGACGGAGAACCTGGCGGGCGAGTCCGGCCTCGCTCGATTCTTGCACTCGGTATGAACAGCTGATCCTTTGGGGAGCGACATGGCGCGGGCCGCCGTGTTTGTCCAGCGTGCCATTGGAAAGTGATAGCCACCGTCCGAGGGGGTGAGAGAGGAAATTCGCTAAACCACCTCCGCTTAGAGGGCTGGTGGGATTCTCCTTCGCACCCCATTCCTCCCTCCCTCCCTCTCCCCCTCACTCTCTTTGTTTGTGTCAGGCCTGCCCTTAGGCGTCCATCTCCCCCGCCCTGTCCCCTTCCTCCCTCTCCGTCTTCCCTCCCTCCTTCTGTGTCCTCTCATCTCTTCCCCCCATCCCTCCTCCCATCATTCCTCTTCCTCTGTCTCCTCCTCCTCCTCCTCCTCCTCTTTCTCATCCTCCTCCGCCTCTCCTTCTTCTCCTCCTCCTCATCATCATCTTCCTTTTCCGTATCTATCATTACACAAGATGATTATGATTATCCCCTCTCTTCTGACGACCCCGAGGTCGTAGCTTCCCCCCCCCTCTCTGCGCATCGCTTCTCTTACACATGGGACCCCCGAGCAGTGATCGATCATCTGTGTTTTTTCGAATTCGATCTTTTTCGGTGTTTCCAGAACGACGCTCTCGCTCTCAGTCCTTCCAACTCAGATTCCCGCGTCAGCGATGACATCACTTCTTTCTTATGGGCCTTTCGAGTCGCGTTCCCGCTACAGCGTGCTTCTTTGCCGCTTGTGTTTGCTTGTTTCCTAATCCAGATGTTGTCGGTCTCTCCTGCAAGAAAGCGATATCTCTTCATTGTTTGCTCCATTTCCGCACTTCGGGCTCTTCCACAATCCGGCTCCATGTCGATTCCATGTCGATGGTCTTGGCCATGTAGGAGACGAGATCTACGCCATGGTAGGGGATGGGAAGGACGGGTACGGCGTCAGATACGACGCGAGCGCGCCTAGCTTGTCTTTCCGCCCCTTTCCATTCACCTCCCCCCTGCGGTCCTCCACCTCACGCCTCCTTCTCTGGGGGGCGGAACGCCAGGCCGTGTTCCAGAAGGACCACGAGCTGCTCAAGCGCGCCCTGAAGAGCCTCGGCCCGGAGAGGGCCATGAGAGAGGCGAGGGGTGAGGGGGGGCGGCGGGCGAGCGGGGTACAATCAAAGTGCCGGCGTAGAATGGAGGGCCATTTGAGGATCAGGAAGGGCTTTGGCTTTAGGGCCGTCCCCTCAGACCCAGGTCAGGAAAACGGTTCGTTGCTGAGGCTCGCCGCGACCAGAACGAAAACATTCGTTCCTTACCTTGCGCTCCCTCATGGTAGCACGGTGGCTGCAGGCCAGAGCTCTGGCATCTCGAACCACCAAAGCGGCCAGTTTCCTTGCTCCCCGTGTCCTAAGATGGGGTTTGTGTTGTTAGTGTGGCTCCGCAGCCGCCGTCTCCCTTCCAGCTCAGAATCGATATGATTCAAATGTCTGTTATTGACACCGCGCTCAGTATTGAGACCGCGCTCATTCATGTCTGTTATGATTCAAATGTCTGTTATTAAGACCACGCATACTCAGCTTCGCCATGCCCTGACCCCTACGCACAGGCCACTCACCTTCTGAGGTGACGCTCAGACTCATTCATATGCATATTCACGTTCAAAAGGCAGCACACAGGTCGAAGAACAGTGCACAGTATTGACAGCAGGTTGCAGTCCAACACGCCCCGCGGCTGCCGGCAAAGGGGGGACTCCCAAAGAGGCCCAGACGACCGCAGCACGGGAGGCGGAAGCAAGAAGAGACAGAAGCAAGAAGGCCCCCTCCCTCTTCGTCAGCCTCTTTCTTGTTGCCGTTCTGTCTCTTCTTGCTTCCGCCTCCCGTGCTGCGGTCGTCTGGGCCTCCTTGGGAGTCCCCCCTTTGCCGGCAGCCGCGGGGCGTGTTGGGCTGCAACCTGCTCTCAATACTGTGCACTGTTCTTCCGCCTGTGTGCTGCCTTTTATGTGGGTGGTCGGTTGGACAATGTCGGGATGCACACACAGAGCCAATACCACGCTCTCACCTCGATTCACTTCCGCTCGGTTCCCCTTCCCCTCTTCTCCTTTTTTCCCACCCGCTTGAATGCTTGCTGAATTGGGGGATCGGCCGCCGGGGCCATCAGGATTCCTATCTGGCACCAGCCTGCTCTGACAGATACGTTTTGGTGGGAATTCGTATCAGTAGGCCTTGGCAGGCGGGAAAAGGGCCACACTTTGTTGGGAGAGTGTTCTCCTAAGCAGTGGCACAATCTCTAAACATATCCGTGCCTTGTGTGTTTCACCTTTAACAATCGCATTGCAAATGCATGTATTGGCACTGCTGGGCGTGGTGTGTCATCGATTGTCATCCCGGGCACGCTACCACCGGTCCCCTGATGCAGGGGAAACAAGTGTCATATTCACGCTCAGACTTCGTCAAAAACCTGTTAAAACATGATGACCCCCTCCCCCCCACATCCCGACTGCCAACAATTCGCCGCCGAATAATTATTTGTTTAATTGTCCCCCCCGGAAATACTCCGCGGGGACCGAACGATGCGAATGATAAATGCAGACATGTGTTCTGCGTAAGTATATGCGTAGACACACGCACGCACGCGCATGCATTGGTATATGCGCATGAACGGTGAGCGTGCAGACGTGCAGGCGACTTCGGTCGACGAGTCGGTAGTTTCGTCTTACTGGGACAGTGCACGTGCGTACGCGCGCCAATGCGCGCGCGTGCGCGCGGTGGCGTCCATGCTCGCGCGCGGCGTGAGGTTGATTGGCCTCATGATGGCTTAATCCCAAATTTAGAAGTCCCAACAATCCTGTGGTGTTGGGTCCTCGTTTTGAAGAATCGGTCCCCGCGTTCATTCCTCTTTCTTATCCCCCTTCCTCCCTTTTCTCATCATCCGCATCACCGTCAGCATCATCAGCATGATCGTCATCGCCATCATCACCAGCATCGCCATCATCATGCCCGTTATCGGCACCATCATCAACACCCGTTTCGGTACACCCCTCACACGCTTCGTGGACCCATAGAGAGCTCCACCGAAGGCCCCGGCGCCACCGTCCACATGCGTCCCCCACACCCATGTCGGCACCCCCTCTCACACGCTTCATGGCCCCATAGGGAGCCCCACCGAAGGCCCCAGTGCCACCTTCCATACGCGCTGCCCGCATCCGTTCCGGCGCACCCATCACGCTTCGTGGCCCCATAGCGAACTCCACCGAAGGCCCCAGTGCCACCGTCCACATGCGCCCCCCGCATTTTTTCCGACACACCCGTCCACATGCGACCCCCGCGCCCATTTCGACTCCCTTCTCACACGCTGCATGGCCCCATAGGGAGCTCCACCGACGGCCACAGTGCCACCGTCCACATGCGTCCCCCACACCCATGTCGGCATATCCTCACACGCTTCATGGCCGCATAGGGGATTCCACCGAAACTCTCAATGCCACCGTCCACATGCGTCCCCCACACCCATGTCGGCACACCCGTCACACGTGTCGTGGCCCCATATGTGAGCTCCACCGAGGGCCCCAATGCCACCGTCCACGTGCGCCCCCCGCACACACACATACACTTCGGCACATCCCTCACACGCTTCGTGGCACCATAGGGGGCTCCACCGAAGGCACCAGTGCCACCGTCCACATGCGTCCCCCGCGCACACTTCGGCACCCCTCACACATTTCGTGGCCCTATAGGGGACTCCACCGAAGGCCCCGGCGCCATCGTCCACATGCGTCCCCCGCACTCATTTCGGCACAGTTCTCACAGGCTTCGTGGCCCCATTGGGAGCTCCACCGAAGGCCCCTGTGCCACCGTCCGCGTGCGTCCCCGACACCGCTTTCGGCACATCCTTTCACACGCTTCGTGGCCCCATAAGGGGGCTCCACCGAGGGCCCCAATGCCACCGTCCACATGCGTCCCCCACACCCATGTCGGCACACCCGTCACACGTGTCGTGGCCCCATATGTGAGCTCCACCGAAAGCCTCAGTGCCACCGGCCACATTAGTCCCCAACACCACTTTCGGTACCCCTCACACGTTTCGTGCCCCATAGCGAGCTCCACCGAAGGCCCCAGTGCCACCGTCCACATGCGCCCCCCACGCCCATGTCGACACACCGTCCACTTGCGTCCCCCACACCCAGTTCGGCACCCTGGCCCCAGTGCCACCGTCCACATGCGTCCGCCGCACTGATTTCGGCACACTTCTCACAGGCTTCGTGGCCCCATAGGGAGCGTTACCGAAGAAGATATTTACGATTTCGGTACTCACAGCTGCATGTGGTTGGGTCCCTCGCCAAACTAATGCACACATTGTTGTTCTCACACGGTTTCAGGGGTGACACGTGTCACCCGCTGGTTTTTTGAGAGGCTGAATGGCCTTAAGTTGGTTGGCTCCCAGAACCTCAAGTTCGCAGGGAGTGGCCGGCGCGGCCTGATGCCAAGATGTGGTGCGCAAGATTCCGCTCTTGCACGCGGAGCGCCGGGGCGGTCGCAAGGACGTCCCCAGCGGTCTGGTTTGCCCCGCCTTCCTTTTTCCCAACCATCTTGTGGTGTTGGGTCCTCGTTTTGAAGGGACGGTCCCCGCGTTCCTCCTCCCTCCCCCCCTCTTTCCTCCTTGCGTTTCGCCCACCCAGTACTGCGTTTCGTGGCCCCATAGGGAGCTCCACCGAAGGCCCCAGTGCCACCGCCCGCATGCGTCCTCCACACCCATTTCGGCACACCCCTCACATGCTTCGTGGCCCCATAGGGAGCTCCACCGAAGGCTCCAGTGCCACCGTGTGCATGCGTCCCCCACACTCACTTCGGCACACCACTCATTCGTTTCGTGGCCCCATAGGGAGCTCCACCGAAGGCCCCAGTGCCACCCGCCGCATGCGTACCCCGCACCCACTTTGGGGGATAAGAGGAGGAGTTGGAGAAGGACACTAGGACGGTATCTATGTGGAGGAGAGGCTGGACAAAATCTAAGGGCGAAGACGAGGAAGAAGGGGAGGACAAGGACGAAGGCGACGAGGAGAGGGCGGAAGATAAGAAGGATCAGGGGGGAAGGAGGAGAAGGAGGGAAGCGGAAAAGCAGAACGATCAGGAGGAGAGGAGGGGGAGGAAAGGAGGAGGAAGAGGATGAGGAGGAGGAGGAGGAGAAACAGCGATGAAGGAGGCGCAGGGGGAGCAGAGGAGAAGCGAGTGGCGAGTAACATTGACGAAAGCAGGACAGGCAGTGGCAGCGAAGGTGGACGGCGGTGGGCTGCCCGCCGTGTTCTACGCCGTGGAGCTCGGTTCCCTTCTCTTTGTGCCGCGGTGTTCCTGATTGGGACTCTCACCTGCAGACGCCCCACTATGCCAGGAGCGAAGGGATGGAGAGAGTGTTGGAGGGAGAGAGGAGAAAGGGGGGAGAAGTGAATCACGATGAGGAACGAGGGGGAAAGAGAGGTTGTAAGGATGGAGGAGAACGAGATGAGGATTGGTAACGAGATGTGGTTACGAACGGGGAGGAGGTAGAAGAGAGGAGGAAGGCTAATGGAGGAATGAAGAGTCAGGGGGACTTGAAGATGAGGAGGGGGGAAGGAAGGAGGAGGAAGAGGAGGCGGCGGAGAAGACGGAGGAGGAGGCCGAGAAGACGGATCAGGAGGGCGGAGGGCGGAGAAGAGCTATAGATGCCCTCGGGAGGCTTGGAAGGGGCCCATAGATGCCCTCGGGAGGCTTGGAAGGGGCCCCGGGGCCCTGGGGTAGCCATGCGTCGCGGGGGATTTTGAGACATGATTTGGAGCTCCGCACGGCGTGGCACCGGCCGCCCCCTTGATGCGGCGCGCACGAGGCCTTTTGGGGCACCCCGTGGGTCTGGAAGGGCCAGCGAACGAGAGAGAGAGGGCAGCGAGGCACCGAATATTTTTGTCCCAGCTGCGGGTGGAAGCTGCTCAGCGCCAGGTCTGCGGAAAAAATGTGGGAGCTGCTCTGCTGCTTGCCGCTGGTCTTGGGAGCCAGCTCCAGGCGGCCATGCACGAGGCCTCCAGGGCGGCGCCTCCCCCTGGATCTGGAAGGCCTGCGGGAGGGCCAGCGGGTGCCCAATCGGCGGCGGCGGCATCCGTTGCCGCAGAGATGCCTCTGGTGAGCGCGAGAGAGTCTCAGGATTGAGCGGCCTGTGGAGTCAGAGCGCAGCCCGATCGGGGCCAGGGCGTGCCCAGAGACGCTGCAGATCGTCGGCGGCGCGCCGTGGGGGGCAGTGAGAGAGGGGGCAGAAGGCGGCGGGGCTTCTGAGAGAAGCCATTCGGCGTTCTGAAGAGCCGGCTGTGGCTTCGCAGAAGGCTTAGAAAGCCTCCAAGAAGGCCGGAGGCCTCCTGAGCCTTCTAAGAAGGCCGGCCCTCTGCCTTCCCCTCTGGGCGCGCCGCCGAGATCGGGCAACAGCGTCTTCGGGTTGGGGGTCGCAGACCCCCTCCTCCCCCTCCCGCTCCCTCGTGCCCCCCCCGTCCCGAGGCCCCCTTTCCCTCCGAGGCCCCCTTTCCCTCCGAGGCTCTCTCGTGCCTCCCCTCCCGAGGCCCCCTTCCCACCGAGGCCCCCTTCCCTCCGCAGCTCGCAGGTTCAGTCGGCTCCGGCTGGATGGGCCGCCGCTTGAAAGAAACCGAGCCCTGCGGCGGCGGCACGAGGATTATGCCGGGTTCGACGCCTGCTGCAGCTCTTACAGCCACAGGCAGGCTCGTTCGAGAGCAACGGCGTAGCGGCAAATGAGAACGGTGGGAGGAGGAGGGGGAGGGGTAGGAGGAGGAGGAGGAGGAGGAGGAGGAGGAGGACCAGTGTAACCCAAGATCCATCAGCGATGTTGGAATACACCCTTCTTCCAAGCTCCTTCTTCATAGGCCCCTACAAGAGTTCATTCCCATTGAGGGAAGTGCGCGGTTGGGGACAACCGTGTGAAAATCCTGACGCGTGCCAAGACACCATTTTTAGGGCTTCAACGCCTCGAGTCAACCTGACTGTTTGTTGCTTCTTGACGATCCTGAATCGCGCCAGAAGGCCATTCCTTGGACTTCGACACCGCGAATCAACGTAACAATTGCGTCCTGACGATCCTGAATCGTTCCAACACGCAATTTCTGTAATGTGAGTCATGAGAAGCAGCGAAGACCTTGTCATCATTTGAAGCGAATGCACGCGGCGCTAAGGCGGGAGCCACGTTTTGAACACGAGCCGCCCTCGATCCGTGAAGCTCTTCCAATGTTGAAAGCGAATGTGCGCGGTGCTAAGGAGTGAAACACATGTTGAAAACGACCTGTCCTCGATCCGTGAAGCTCTTGCAAATTGCTCAAACGAACGTTCGCGGCGCCAAAGCGACAGCCACCTATTGAAAACGAGCTGTCCTCCATCCGTGATGCTTTTGCATCTGTTTGAAACGAATGTGCGCGGAGCTAAGGCGAGAGCCGAATTTTGAAAGCGACCATGGCAAGAAAGTCTAAGGCGAAAAGCCTTGCCCGCTCTTCCGACTGGCCTCGGGGTGCGACAGGAAAAAATTATTCACAAGGACAAGGAACGGAAGGGGGAGGGGGAGAAGGAGGGGGAGGAAGGATAGATGGGGGACGCCAGAGCCGTTCGTCCGCTGCTGAGAACGCGCGGAGTGGACGGCGGTGGATGAGGGGTGGAGGGGCTGTTGCACGGGAGGGAGGGAGGGAGGAATGCGCAGGAGGAGGGAGGAAGGCAAATGTCTGGGCTTGGCTGTGTCTCTTTCTGAGAATGAAGAGACGTGGCTGGGCAATGTCTAGCAATGGCACACTACACGTGCACTGCTGGCCGAGATCATTTTATTCACACGCCTCTGGTAGTTATCGCTCGCGCTTCGTGAGCACAGATGCAGCAGTAGGCGGAGTTGTGTCACTAAGATGTTCGATCCTGCCTCCGAGGCTACGTGAGAAGAGGAGGGAGGGAGGCGGAGGGGGAGGGGGGGTGCCCCCCGCAATTCGAATAAAAAACAGCTGCATGAACACAAACTGTCAGAGGTCCGCGCGGATTCCCTTGGCCCCACTGGCAGCACCTCCGGCGCCGCTCGTGGCGCGCTCCCCGCGACAGGGAGGGGGGCCCAGCGCCGATCTAAAACAATTGTGCGGACCTACGAAATTCGAGAGCTACGTGCACGAACAACGAGCAAGTTTCCCCGCTGTGCAAGCGCAGCACTCTGCGTGGAGACCGTTGCTTAACCTTCCAGAAGACCGTCACATTTGATAGCAGTCTTTCGTCGGAGAGCAGAGACGTGCGACAACTCCTCAAAATTCCTAGGATCGTGGCTCTGACGGTTCACTAAGACAGTAGCATGTGACGTTTCATTTCGAGAGGGCGCAGCATGTGTCATCTGAATTTGTGGGGCTCTTCGGTACAGTCAAGACGCTGAAATAAGGACCACTTCGGGCTCAGCAGGGGCTTTGGCTTTCGGACTGTGCAGACCGTCTTGGGCCGTCCCGGGACCCTTTCGACAGCTTCGGGCCATCGTGGACAGGGTCCACTTCGATATGATCGGTCCGATTCGATATCGTCTCCATCTGGCTTGACCCGATTCGATTCTAGATTCGAGGGAGCGCGTTCCACCGTCGTTGGCCTCAGACAATGTTGTAAAGGGGGGGGTGTCAAAAAACAGGGGGGGCCCTCCCCCCCTGATCAACATTTTAAGGGGGGCATCAGAAACCAGGGGGCCCCTCCCCCCCAGCCCCCCCACATTCCCAACCCCCCCCCCTGGACGAACCTAGGGGGTCCTGACCCCCCCATCCCCTGGGGAAAGTTGGTACGTAGGGGGGCCCCTCCGGAAAATGATCCCCCCCGGCGACGACAACGACGACGACGACAGCGACGACGACGACGACGACGTCAGCGCCTGCGACGGTACATCTCTCGCCAGCGCCCGCTCCATGCGCCGGCACTGATAGAATGCTACTAGGGCCGGCACGTTCCTCCACTCTTTTCGACTCTGCCCTGCTCTACCCTCTACTCTACCCTACCGTACTCTAACATACTCTACTTTACTCCACTTTGTTCTTACTCTACCGCACTCTACCCCCTTTTCCATCATATTATCCTTCCTCTCTACTCTGCCCCACTCTACTCTACCGTACCGCACCCTAGCATATTATACTCTACTCTAGCTTGCTACTAGTCTACCATACTCCTATAATCAGCTCAGCTCGACTCTATGATGTTTCTTCTGTTATCGAGCCATCTACTCGTCTCTACTCGACATCATCTGCCCTGCTCTACTCCACTTTACCCTACCGTGCCCGAACGTATTCTACTCTACTCCAGTGTGTGTTTACTCTGTGTCCTCATTTTTCTTCTACTCTCCTCTACCCGATTCTACTCTGCCCACTATTCTACCCTACGTCGTTCTACTCAACTCTGGTCTACTCTACTCTACCCTACTCTACTCTACGCCGTTCGTGTTCTACTCTACTCGTACTCTGCTCTAGTCAGCTCTGCTCTACTCTACCTCTACTTTGCTCTACTCTATTGAATGTCCTTCTACTCGATCCATCTACTCTTCTATACTCGACTCCTTTTCAGTCTACTATGATCTACACCTCCCACGTCCCTACTCTAACCCACTACTCTACCCTGCCGTATCCTGAAATTTCATTATATTCCTATTCGATGATACCCCACGCCAACTCTACTCTGCTCGTCGTCGTTGTCGTCGTTCTCGTCGTCGGCGTCACCGTCACCGTCACCGTCGACGTCGCTGTCGCCGTCGGCGTCGGCGTCGGCGTCGGCGCCGGGTCTGGTGCTGGCGCCGGCGTCGCCGTCGTGCGTCGTCCGTCGTGCGTCTTGCGTCGTCGTCGTCGTCGTCGTCGTTGTCGTTGTCGTCGTCGTCGTCGTGTTCGTCGCTGCGGAGGGTGTAGGGAGGTTTCCGGGGAGGGGTTCAGGACCCCCCTTTGCTAATTTTCCCCAGGGGGGAGGGGGGTGGTTCTGGACCCCCCACTCATTCTCCTGGGGGAGGGGCAAGGGGGGGGTTCCCGAGGGGGGGGGGTCTGAACCTGCCCCCCTCTTGCCAGCAGCAGCAGCAGAAACCACTGCCTCCAAGATTCCGACGACCCGATGCGGCTCGACGCCTGCACGGCGTTGTGTGAGGCTCCCCAGGCGCCCCAGCGCCATCCAAGCGGTCTCCAACGCATCCAAGTTGCCCAATGGTGACGTCCGAGACGTCCCACCAAGGCAACCAATGCCTGACGAGGGACCCAAAAGCCCCCGAGAAGACTCACAGGGGCGTTCAAGTCGACCCAAGAAGTATCCCAAACATTCAAGAAGCTTTCAAACGAATCCTAGAAGATCAACCGCTATCAAATCAGGAAGTCGGACCGAATCGGAGTGTGCGTCACACCGGGCCGCATCGGCACGGAGTCGAAATCGAATCGGATCGGGAGCGCCAGGATGCATTAGAGGGAAGGGGGAGTGCGTGCGGGGGGACGCGTCGAGAATGGTGGGGAGGGGGGCCCTAGAAAACTAGAACACAGCCATGCATCTCGGAACATGATTCGCTAGACGTTGAAAGCATGGGTTTCTGGAACATCGTATTCTCGTCGATTGCAAGTGGTCCAATAATATTTTCCTTTGCTATTCCTTGGTTCTGGGCGGGCAGAAACCCAATCTACACCCATCATAATTTGTTTTGTGAAAGTTCATGGACTCCAGACATCGCTCAAACCACTCAATAAGATTGACCGGACTCTGGGGGTTATCTTGGAGCTCTCTGTTGGTGGTAGAATATCAGCAGATCTGAGCCTGGACTAGCAGAAAGCGCCTGGCATGAATTCCATTATCTTAGCCTAAAGGTTTCCTCATTCCAAGCGGTGGTGTACTTGAGACGCCTTCCCGTTTCGTGTGACGACCTGCCCTTCCGATCTCACGGGCGCTCCACCTCCTCCGCCTCCCGCGAAGCTGCCTTCTGTGCACGTCCTGCGACTCCGCGCCGCACGCTACGGCCCCGACCGCGCCGTGCGCTCGCCAGCGCGGCGACAAAACTCGCCATGGGGGAAGCGGGTCCTGAGGGAAACGGGTCCAGAGGTCTTCCGCCGCTTTCGAGCCCTCAGGGTCCTCCACGGGCCCCGGGGACTGTCAGAGGACGACTCAGGATGAAGATTTGGTCATGGGGGACGGCCCCAGGGTCCAGGACCCATTTCCTTCAGGACCCGCTTCCCCCATGTGGACACAACAGGAATTGATGCCCCTGCCCTTCGCCCCAACGAATTTCGGAGGTCCCTTCTGGTCCTTCTTCTCCGCGGAGGCCTCGCGGGCGGCCCCCCGCGGGGACCACCCGGGGGCTTCTCCATGGGCCCAAGCCAAGGCCGAGTCCGACGAGGATGCCCTCTCTCTTTGCCTGGGCGCGCCCCCTGTCGCTGACCCACGGCAAAGCTGTCCAGCCCATGCCGCGGTGCTTGAGCAGTTCTCCCCCGAAATGGGGGCGCGCCCAGGGCTGCTTGTTCGAGGCCCGGGCGGACTCTCTCTTCTCTCCTCCCCCTTTTGTGGATGTCCGATCCTCCTGCTCCTCCCCCCCCCCCCACCCTCCTCCCCCTCACCTCCTCCCTCCCCTCCTCCCTCCCCTCCTCCCTCCCCTTTTTTACTCTCCTTTTCCTTTATCTTCCTCTCCCTCTTCTCCTCCCCCTCCCCCCTTCTGACGCGCCTCGGGATGTCGCGCCAGTTGGCGGCAGGGGGCCCTGACTGTGCGCCGGGCGTTCGCGGGTTCACGCCCCTCCCGCACCTCAGACCCCCCGCCGGGCAGGTTATATGGAGCTGGCGCACACGCTGCTCGTGGAGGGTCGCCCGCTCATCGTCCTCGTCGCGTGAGGGCAGGAGAGAGGGGGCAGGAGAGAGGGGGGGAGGAGCACGAGAAGGAGGAGGAAAAGTAGGAGGATAAGTTGGAGGAGAGTCAGGGGGAGGAAGAGGTGGAGGTGGAGGTGGAGGAGGAGGGGGAATGGGTGGAGGGAGGGATAGAGGGAGGAGGTTAGGGATGGAGGAAAGTAGGTTGGGAGTGAGGGAAGGAGAGAGGGAGGGCCAGCCCCCCCCGCGCCCTGCCCACCCCGCGCCCCCTGGGAAGATGACCCTAAAGGAAAACAGCGAACAGAAAGAAGCCTGAGCCAGCGGCGTCGTCATGGCGGGCCGCTGGTAGGGCATTGGCGGCCCCCCCTATCTCGCTTGAGGGCTGTTGATGGGGCCACCCTCCCGGGGGAGCTCCGCCGTCAGGCCACCCGCAAGTTGGGCAGCCCGCGCCGCGGCCCCCGGTCACGGGGAGGCATCGTCGGAGGCGGCAGGGTATGGTGAGCATTCTTTTATTATTTGTTTTTGCTTTCGGCGGAACGCCCCTCCCCCCCCCCTCCCCCCCCCCCCGTAGAGAAGTTCCGGGCTGATTTTGGCACCTGCTTCAATCGATCGGACGAACTACAGGGGCCGGCGCCCCCCCCCCCTCCCCCGGTAGAAACTCGAATCGCTGATGTGTGCAACTCTGCGCATTTTATCGTGCTACTCTTCTGGAACCACAACGAAAGGGCTCAGGGGCGCCAGACCCGATCGCCAGAAAGCATGCCTCCGGCTGGGCCCTCCCCTGTTATGCCAGCGACGGCCTCGTGGAATCATGAATAAGTGATCCCTAGCAATTCTGGCACAGGCTTGCCAAATCACGCATAGCCTTGGCGCAGCCCCGCGCAGCCGCTGCGCGATTCCCCCATGGGGGGTCTCCCCTAGGATTCCCTCATCGGCATCTCCCACAGGATTCCCCACATGATTCAATCGGAGGCATTGACTACGGGCCGAGAGCCGGACCCCCCCCCCCTCCCCCCCATGCGCCTAAAGCCGGAACCCATAATAAAAAAATGCTCACATGAGCCGCAGCCGACGGTAGGACCCCTGACCGCGTGGCCCGGCGGGGGGGGCGCGTGGCCGTGGGGCGCACGTCGTCCGAAGTGAGTGAGTGAAGGAAGGGAGGGCAGGGGGGTGGGAGGGAGGGAGGGAAGAGGAAGAGGAAGAGGAGGACGAGGAGGAGAAGGACGAGGAGGAGGAGGAGAAAGTGGAGGAGGAGGAGGAGGAGGTGGAGTAGAGAGGAGAGAGAAAAGAGCAAAGAGGAGATAGGAAAGGGGACGGAGGAGGGGAGGAGGTCAGGTCAGTTGGACGGTCTCGGCATAGCAGCAGTTTGCGTGCCGTCATGCTGAAGGCTTTTACCGCAAGAGCTCGTTTCGACCGCCATTCTCCCCAGTGAGGGGAGGTCCAGCCCTGAGTATGTATATATATATATATACATATAACGGCGCACCGGGTCCGGGGGCCCGGGGCCGGGACCCCGACCACAAATGTGGGCCCCGGGGGGCCCGGAGGCTCGTCGGACCGCCGGACGCCGTCCAAGATCGTTCGCAGGCGGCTTCGGAACACGCTCCGATGGCTCCAGATGCCTTCCAAGACGCCTGTCATGACACCAAGAAGGTCCCAGAAGCCTCCAAGACGCTCCGAGAGGCAGCCCAAGAGAGGCCCAAGAAGCAAAAATCGTGCCATTCCTATGGGAAAACGTATATTTTTCGCATGTTCGCCTCTTGGGCTTTCACCGCGTCCAAGACGGCCCAAGAGGCGCCCAAGACCGCCCCAAGACGGCCCAAGAAGCTTCCAAGAGGGCCCCAGGACAGCCCAAGAGGGCCCCAAGACGGCCCAAGAGGCGCCCAAGATGGCCCAAGAGGGCCCCAAGACGGGCCCAAGAGGGGGCCCAGAGGGGGACCACGAACCGCAAGCTCGAGCCTTCCGCCCCAAGAGGCCGCCAGGAGGCCCCAAGGAGGCCCCTCAAGAGGCCCCAGGAGACCCCCAAGAGGCCCAAAGGAGGCCCCGAGAAGCCCCAAATCGGCCCCCAAAATGCTTCGAACCTGCTTCCAGGAGGCCCCCGACAGGTTCAGAGGCTCCCGAGAAGCTACGTCAAACTCCCAGCGAGCGGCCGGACGAGGCCCCCCACAAAATCACAAGAGGGTTCCAGTATTTGTATCCTTCAGCGCTCTCTGGCCTTCTTCCCCCTGCCCCCTTCCCTGCGACTTTCGTTGACTCAAGCTCGCCTCCTAGCTAGAACCTAAGCGCGCGCGAAGCGCGCGCGTGGTTCTAGTATATATATATATATATATATATGTATATATCGTTATGTCTCTCTTTCTCTCTGTCGCATTCTCTCTCTCTCTCTCTCTCTTTCTCTCTCGCTCTCTCTCTCTCTCGCTCTCTCTCTCTCTCTCTCTCTCTCTCTATATATATATATACATATATGTCTCTCTCACTCCATTTCTCACTATCTCTCTTTATATATCATACCTATCACTCTCTTTCTCTCTCTTTCTCTCCCTCTCTCTCTCTGTACAGGCATTTCTGTTTGTTTTCTCTCTCTCTCTCTCTCTTCCTCTCCCTCTCTCTCTCTCTCTATCTATCTATCTATCTATCTATCTATCTATCTATCTATCTATATATATGTTGGGGTACGGGGCCGGGGGCCTCTGGCCAGCTGCCTCGACTCGCCATGGGGGGCACCCCCCTCCCCCGGGCCTCTCCAGAGCCGCTCCGGGGCGTCTCCCGAGCGGCTCTGGACGGACCCTGGTGATGTTTCAGCACCAGGAATGGTTCCCATCTTCGACCCATGTCGCCGAGGCACGTGGTAGAGGTTTCGGGAGGCCTCCAACATGGCTCCAGACGCTTCCAGGAGCACTCCCAAGAGAGCCCCGGGAGGCCAAAATTGATGGTTCCCATGGGATTCGGAAAGCTTTGGGCCTTTTGTTTTTTTCGGTTGTACGACGCTCCAAGACGGCCCAGGAGGTCTCCAGGTCCGCCCCCAAGCAGGCCCAAACCCCCAAGGCAAGCCCAAGGCGGCCCCGGAGAACCCAAGGCTGGCCCAAGAAGCGCCCACGACAGCCCAAGAAGGCTCCAAAACAAGCCCAATAAGGGCCCAAGAGAGGGACCGCGTACCGAACACCCAGGGCTCCCGCCTCAACAGTGACCCCGGAGGCCCCAGGCAGCCCCCAAGAGTCCTCCAACATGGCTCCAAACGCTTCCAAGAGCACTTCCACGAGGGCCCCAGCAGGCCAAAAATTGATGGTTTCGCAGTAGTTTTGGAAGGGTCTTGGCCTTCTGATCTGTGCGGCTGTCCGACGCTCCTGGGCGGCCCAGGAGGCCTCCGAGACCGCCCCCAAACAGCTCCAGAAGCGCCCAAGGCCGCACCGAGGCGGCCCCGGAGAGCCCCAGGTTAGCCCAAGAAGCGCCCAGGGCACCCCACGCGTGCCCCAAAACAGGCCCGAGAGGTGTCCAAGAGACGGACCGCGTCCGGAAAACCCAGGGCTTCCGCCTCAAGAGAGCCCCAGGAGGCCCCAGGTAGCTTCCAAGAGGCTTCAAACATGGCTCAAGACGCCTCCAGGAGCACCCCCACCCCAACACGCCAAAATCATTAATTTTTCGTAGGACTTGGAGAATCTTGGCCTTCTTGTCTTTTCGGCTTTCCGACGCTCCACTAGGGCCCAGCGCGCCTCCAGGTCCGCTCCCAAACAGCCCTAGGCGGGCCCAGATAGCCCCAGGGAGCCCGCAAGACCGGTCCTACGCAACCCAAGAGTTCTCGGCAGGATCGTCCGGGAAGGGGGAAGAGCGGGGGAGCCTCTGGCGCCCCATGCTCCGGAACGCTCCTCCGGAACATGGCGTGCGAACGATGAGGATCGGGGATCTCCGTTCCCATGTTCCAGAAGTGCGCTTGGCTTGCAGTGCACGCCGCCGTCTTCGTGGTAAGAATCGTCGCGGGCATCGTACCTGAGCGGTGACCTCAATTAGAACCTGAGCGCGCGCGAAGCGCGCGCGATGGTTCTAGTATATATATATATGTATAAATACACACGCATTCAACTATGCAACATATATACATCTAACTATATACACGTAAACATAAACCATATACATACATACATACATACATACATACATACATACATACATACATACATACATACATACATACATACATACATCCATACATCCATACATACATACATACATACATACATACACACACATACATACATACATACATACATACATACATACATACATACACACATACATGCATACATACATAGATTAACATATATAAACACATATATATAGGTGTGTAAATGTGTATATATACACATATAGATGTGTATATACACATGCATTCATATATACACACATACATACATACATACATACATACATACATACAGACATACAGACATACAGACATACAGACATACAGACATACAGACATACAGACATACATACATACATACATACATATACATATGCACACACACACACACATATATATGTATATATATATATATATATATATATATCTATATATATATATATATATATCGGGGTATGGGGCCAGGGGCCTCTGGCCAGCTGCCTCGACTCGCCATGGGGGGACCCCCCTCCCCCGGGCTTCTCCAGAACCGCTCCGGGGCGTTTCTTGGGCGGTTCTGAACGGGCCCCGGAGATGTTTCAGCGCCAGGAATGGTTCGCATCTTCGACCCATGTCGCCGAAGCACGTGGTAGAGGTTTCGGGGGGCCTCCAACATGGCTCCAGACGCTTCCAGGAGCACTCCCAAGAGAGCCCCGGGAGGCCAAAATTGATGGTTCCCCGAGGGTTTCGGACGGATTTTGGTCGTCTGGTTTTTTCGTTTTTACGACGCTCCAAGACGGCCCAGGAGGTCTCCAGGTCCGCCCCCAAGCAGCCTCAGAGGCCCCCAAGACAAGCCCAAAGCGGCCCCGGAGAACCCAAGGCTGGCCGAAGAAGCGCCCACGACAGCCCAAGAAGGCTCCAAAACAAGCCCAATAAGGGCCCAAGAGAGGGACCGCGTACCGAACACCCAGGGCTCCCGCCTCAACAGTGACCCCGGAGGCCCCAGGCAGCCGCCAAGAGTCCTCCAACGTGGCCCCAAACGCTTCCAAGAGCACTCCCACGAGGGCCCCAGCAGGCCAAAAATTGATGGTTTCGCAGTAGTTTTGGAAGGGTCTTGGCCTTCTGATCTGTGCCGCTGTCCGACGCTCCTGGGCGGCCCAGGAGGCCTCCGAGACCGCCCCCAAACAGCTCCAGAAGCGCCCAAGGCCGCACCGAGGCGGCCCCGGAGAGCCCAAGGTTGGCCCAAGAAGCGCCCAGGGCACCCCACGAGTGCCCCAAAACAGGCCCGAGAGGTGTCCAAGAGACGGACCGCGTCCGGAAAACCCAGGGCTTCCGCCTCAAGAGAAGCCCAGGATGCCCCAGGTAGCTCCCAAGAGGCTTCAAACATGGCTCAAGACGCTTCCAGGAGTACCCCCAAGAGGGTCCCAACAGGCCAAAACCGCTCATTTTACGTAGGACTTGAAGGATCTTGGCCTTCTTGTTTTTTCTGTTTTCCGACGCTCCAATAGGGCCCAGCGCGCCTCCAGGTCCGCTCCCAAACAGCCCTAGGCGGGCCCAGAGAGCCCCAGGGAGCCCGCAAGACCGGCCCTACGCAACCCAAGAGTTCCTCGGCAGGATAGTCCGGGAGGGGGGAGGAGCGGGGGAGCCTCTGGCGCCCCATGCTCTGGGAACACTCCTCCGGAACACGGCGTGCGAACGTGAGCGGCATGGTCGCCGTCGTCGTCGTCGTCGAAGTCGTCGGGCTTTCCGGCGCTTCAATAGGGCCCAGCGCGCCTCCAGGTCCGCTCCCAAACAGCCTTAGGCGGGCCCAGATAGCCCCAGGGAGCCCGCAAGACCGGCCCTACGCAACCCAAGAGTTCCTCGGCAGGATAGTCCGGGAGGGGGGAAGAGCGGGGGAGCCTCTGGCGCCCCATGCTCCGGGAACACTCCTCCGGAACATGGCGTGCAAGCGTGAGCGGCATGGTCGCCGTCGTCGTCGTCGTCGAAGTCGTCGCGGTCGCCGTCTTCGGCGCAGAGAGGGCGCCAGGAATTCCCGACAGGCCACCCCCAGAGGCACCGAGAGACCCCCAGGATGGCCCAAGCCCAAGAAACCCCCACGAGGCCCCCAACTCCGGGGCGTCTCCCGAGCGGCTCTGGACGGACCCTGGTGATGTTTCAGCACCAGGAATGGTTCCCATCTTCGACCCATGTCGCCGAAGCACGTGGTAGAGGTTTCGGGGGGCCTCCAACATGGCTCCAGACGCTTCCAGGAGCACTCCCAAGAGAGCCCCGGGAGGCCAAAATTGATGGTCATCCGAGGGTTTCGGGGGGATTTGGGCCTTCTGTTTTTTTCGGTTGCGCGACGCTCCAAGACGGCCCAGGAGGTCTCCAGGTCCGCTCCCAAGCAGGCCCCCAGACAAGCCCAAGGCGGCCCCGGAGAGCCCAAGGCTGGCCCAAAAAGCGCCCACGACAGCCCAAGAAGGCCCCAGGAGCCCCAGGAGGCCCCAGGTAGCAGAATGTCGTGCATGCCGAAGCCGGCGCGACCACGGATTGGCGTCCAATTATTTCTTATTGCCGTCCTCCTCCTCCTCATTGTCACCTCCACCTCCGTCCTCGTGTTTCCCCTCTTCGTCGCGCCAAACAGGTCCAAGACGGGCCGGGTCGTTTTTCAGACGCCCTCCTCCTTTCCTCCCCCATCATCACTCATCGTTGCGCCTCCCATGGGGTCCTTCTAACTGAGGGATACTGCCCCACAGTCAAAAGAACCATGATGCCACTCAGGTCGGCGCTGATATGCTATATGACGGCCGATGCTGGTGTCCTTAGGTTTGGCCATGTCCGAGCGCACGCACCATGGCAATACCATTGAGATTGTCCCAATGCTATGAAGATCAATGCTATGCAATACCAATGCTATACGATGCCCGACTGCCCCATCACGGCCCAGAAACTTACGCTCTTGATAGCGCAATCGCAATAGAAGTGGTGTGTTTCCGTTGCCGCAGACTGCAGGCTGGGCTACAATCCGCAGATTGGCACAAGTGGTGCCGGCCGCCATGCACTGGCATTAAATACAGACCCAAACTACAGCCCAATCTCTCTCTGGTTGTCTCTCTCTCTCTCTCTTTCTCTCTCCGCCTCGATCTCACTTATTGTTTCTCTCCCCATCTCTCTACATATTTTTCTGTCTCTCTATGCCTACTTTCGAACAAGAGAAACCACAGGAAGATAAACGTTCGGAGGGCCGCGCGGATTTCTTGGATCGGCGTCGGGCCCCCCGTGCCGGCTGCTGTAGTGCCACCTGTGGCGCTCTCCTTGAGCAGAAAAATAAGCAGCGCCGATCCAAGACAGCCAGACGGACCACCGAAATCTGATAAGTATGCAGTCGTGGTTTAGTCTATCAGTCCTGTACGTGCCACAGGCCTGGTCCTCGCATTATGCTTGACGTTACAGGTAGATGTTGTCAGAACTGGACCTTCCTTCTCGACCCACTCCTTTGTCACAGGCTGTAAGCGCGCGTCCTGCGCCAGACAGGATGTCCGGCTGCAGAGAAAGAGGGTTTGAATGAGGCCAGATATTTTGATAGACAGCGTCTCTGTTTGTTTCTGGTTCCCTCCACCAGTGGGCCACAAGCTCACACAGGTCACTGCTTGACTGTCGAGCTGGCAGACCGCGTCCTGAACGTGATCAAGGACGCAATGGCGAATCAGTGCCCCTATCCAGCCGTGCCGTTGTTCTTTGATTCTTTCTTCGCCGCTACCCCTCCTTGAATTTGTACACGAGTCTGTCATGTGCGTCCCGTTTCTCCAACACCCTTCTCTACAGTAGGCACATATGATGAGAACTCGGCCTGCCACTAGGTGCCCATGGCCAGTTCGTATCCCCCAGCGGCCTGAGAGACCCACAGAAGCTCTGGGGCACCTGATGACCCTCACAGATCCAAGAAAAAAAGTGCCCAGATATTCATTACAGCAAGGCTTGTTATCGTATGCGCCTGCTCCGGGTCGCCAGCAGGGCGAAGATACCGCGCTTCGCGCGTCACGGTCCAGGCCACAGCAGCTGCCCTCCCCTACAGGCCGGAGAAGAAGCGCCAGACTATTACAGACGCAGGGCGCGCGAGGCTAAGCAGATTTGCAAGCGCAGGCGCTGGTGGAGCCATCGCCACTGTCTCCGCGTCCTGGATTGGCAAGAACACCTCGAGCGACCCAGGAATCTGTGATTCTGGACAGTACCCCTGCTGCACTTCCAGGCCGAGCAGTGGCTCCAAGCTCAGAGAGCGCAACTAGGCAGCTATAGCGTCCATGCAGGCCGGACTGACACGCGACTGGCGGCCCGTCGTCCACGACAGCGGTGACACGATGGCGTCCAGTACGCGGTCGAGCACATGATTCCCCATGCCGTCCGGTGCCCCCCTTCTTTCCTCCCTCCCTCCCACCCCTCCCAGCGATGAGCGAACCAGTCCTATAGTAACCACATGAATTGCCAAGCCTTGGGGTTTTGCCTTCGTGTGCACGCCTCTTGCGGTGACATCCCGCCTTCTGATTCAGATTATGATACAGGGGGCAGCGCGAGGGTGCGAAGGTAACAGCGTATCGCAGGGACGCGATGAGCGAAGTTGGGTGACCCAGGGTCTCCCCGCGAGAAGGATGCGCCAGGCTATCTGCTCCATTCAGAGCTTCGTCTGCCAGAGCGACTCTGAGAGCCAGAACTCCGCCTGCAAACATTCCGCCCAGAGCTTCAAAGCAGGAGTGTTTGCACTGGCCAGAAGTGCTACGCATCAGTCTACGTCAGCGTCTACCTTGACACGTCCGTGGTGCGAGAGTCAAGAAGACTCTGCATCAAGGCTACTTGGGCACACTCGTTTTCCAGTTGTTATTCGGCCTGTCGTTGGCGATGGGGACGGCGGCGGCTCCTGACTGGTTCATACCACCGGCAGGGATGGCAAAGCAGAAGAAGCACGATCCTCGGACACCAAGAAGTTGGCCAAGCTGCAGGCGGAAATCCTCAAGAGCAAGGAGGAGGCGGGAGGCGTTTCAGCAGCTCTGAGCACCACATTGCGCCGCCTGGCGCTGCGCAAGAGTGGCGAGTTAGTGGAGCTCATCGGCGCCAGGTTCGCCTGCTATTTAGCTCCGCCAGCCGCGGGCACGGCATCCATCATTCAGAAACCGAGGCAAGTTTACAACGCCAAGTGCAAGATGGACGGCAAGAGTCATGTTCTGGGCCCACCGTGGCCACACACATTTGTATGACTTCTACTTTGCTTGGTCAATCAAGCGCAGGACCGTCCAAAACAATGAATGCAAGCTGACCCTCGCTCGGTACTGGAACGAGGTGGTGGCAATGAGCACGGCAGGAGGACTTCGTGGTTCAGGGGCACGCGGGATTCTTTCGTGTTCGCGGATGCTACTACGGTAAGAAGCAGCACGAGGAGCCTCATATGTGAAACATGCAGTTCGTGGTGGCACCAGCTCAGCAAACCCAGAGGACCAAAGACAGCGAGAACACGGAGCTCCTGAGCTGGCATTTGGCCTCTGCCAGGCGATCGAGCACCAACGCGGGACGTTCAAGCCAGGATCGGCGCTTCGCTGCTCCATGGAGAGACGCGGAGAAGCGGTTGAACTCAGAGGTGCATTTCTCCACCTCTACAATACGATTCTGCAGCGCGAAGCCACGCCGCCGGCCAGTTGGAAAAACACAGTCATTACAGTCATACCAAAAAGTGGAGAGCTCGCGTTTCAACAAGACTACCGCCCAACTTACACGATACAATTGTTGCACAAGCTCGTCAGCCGAGTACTGCACACAGGCTACAACCGACGCTTGACTCACACCAGACTGACGACCAGGCGGGCTTCAGACCAGGCCACCCGACCACTGACCACCTCTTTACATTCGATTTACTGCGCGAGCGAGCAACCGAATGGGGCCAAAACCTATGGGTCGCAGCACTTGACTTTCAAAAAGCTTTCGATTCAACTGAGCACAAGAGCATCTGGGCAGCACTGAAGGCAGAAGGGGTCTAACTTGGAAACGTTGCGCTACTCCAACAGTTCTTTGAGGGACAGACAGCCACGGTGAGAACAGACGTCAGTAGCAGACCCTGTAGCCTCTGGCGGGGCACGAAGCAGGGAGACCCACTCAGCTCCCTACTCTTCAACGCTCTTCTACAATACATCCTTGGACCGCTGGTCTCCGAATGGCAGCAAAAATGGAAGGGAGTTGAATTGGGACCCGCGAGCACCGCCACGCTGACCAACGTACGCTTCACCGACGACGTGCTCCTGACCAGCCAAACTCTCCCGCGCCTGACAGCGATGCCTGCCGACATTGTGCGCGCGACGAGGCTACACGGGCTCGAGTACACCCACGCAAAACCAAACTATTGAGCAACCAGACGAGAAGGACCGCAAGGGCAAGCTCACGCACAACACGTTTCCAAGACATGGATATAGAAATCGTTCCATACGAGGGCAGTATAAAATACCTCGGCCAAGTGGTCAGCTTCCACGATTCGATGGAAACGGACATCCACCACCGCACGCGAGTTGGGCATCATTCGCGCCTCGCAGACAGGAGCTGACCAGCAAACACTACCAACTGGCTCACCGACCCCGACGTTTTAGCAGCACTGTAGCACCAACAACGTTACACGGAGCATAGACGTGAACCCTCACGGAGCCTCTACGGCAGCATCTACGACGGACACAACGACGTACGCTTCGCATGATCATCAGGACGCCACGGAGACGCACAACGAAAGAAGCTTGCCGTCACAGCGGCCAGGGACCTCATCTCGACGGCGCGAACAATGAAGCACAAACCACGAAGACCGCACCAACAGCACTAGCGACGACGCAGACAGCAACCCATCACAGCATGATGAACCTGACACGCTTGACAAGCACAGCGAAGACGGCGAAGACAGCACCTGGAACCATGGGTCAACCACATCCAGCGAGCGACACGACGCGCCGAGCACCTCATGAAGCTCCACTACGTTGACAATTTGGAGACGTTGCGCAAACGGAAAGTATGGCGCATTGCTTCGCGAGTCGCAAACCACGACTGGACGAGGTGGCCATGGCGAGTACTGCGCTGACACCCAGTCTTCAACCCGCGCAAACAGGGACACAGACAGCACGGTGGCCAAAACAAGCGTTGGGACGACGAACTCACCACTTACTTACGTTCACGCAGACCAAACCTCCACCGACCGCCCACGCAAGCCCATTCGAAAGGACAGCCGAACGACATCACATCGACGCGAACAGCCCAAGACCGAAGCATGGACAGCGCCCGAGCACCACTTCACCGACCTCACGTCGACCAGCACCCGGGAGTCAGACCAATGACGTACAATTTCAGCGAACATCGACACGTTTCGTCCAGCCCGCGCCGACATCGACACCAAGGACTGTCTTCTTTTCCTCATCATCCCCCTTTCCTCCTAACTTGCATCGCATGTACCCAGACACCTCCGATCCTAGAGGCCATGGCCTTACCCTCCTGGTCTGCTCTAGGCCCAGACGCTGTCCGCAACGGTGGTCGCATCGCATCGCATCGCGGAGAAGCGGTTGGCAAGGATCGGGTTGTCTCACGAGGCCGCCCAGCAGGACGTCCACAATAAAGGCGACACAGGCACTGCCATTGGGCTCGACTGGTGGCTACTAGTATCACCGAAGGTGGTAATGATGTTTCAGAAAAATCTGAATAGACAGGCCCTCACCAGCCTCCAAGCTAGACAACTGGACCCCGTGGACCCATCCTGGAGGACAGTTCAGGAGCCCACCGTTTTCATTGTTTATAAGTCTGGGGCCCCAGTGGAGTTCAGTAGAGACATGCTCACCCTAATTGAAATGGCCTCCCAGGATTGACATATGCGCAATCGTGTCTCCCTTTCCTGGATTGAATCCCCATCCTCGTTTCCCATGCTCGTTCCGCCTCCCACCATTTCTAAACCGTCTGAGTAGACGCGATCTACGACGGGAGCTTCTAGGATTGCGACCTTTTGGTTTGCGCCTCGAGCTCTCAGGGCCGGGGGGGCACGTAGGGGCAAGCTTTTCCCCGACGGTAGCACTTGTTCAGGCCAGCGGAATCCCCCAGCAGAGCCGCTGATAGGCGCTATCTTACGGCGTTCACAGAGCTATTACATGTCTTTCGTACTTTCCATATTCACTCGTGGGGAGTTGGTTGCATTGCCCGCCCGCGCTCCCAGCCTTATGATGCGGGATTTTGTTCATGCGCACGCAATCACAGGGTCTGGAACGGCGCTGGAGAGTGCAATTCGACGTTCGCGCTCTGTTGTTACAGCTCATCCCGCAGTACATCGGACTATTGGCTCCTGGGTGATTTTGTCTTGTCTTGTCGCTTTCCCCGCCCATCCTGATGTCGTTTCCTTCCCCTCCATCTCTGGCACATATGCACATATATATATACATACATATATGGTGTGTGTGCGTGTGTGTCGAACGTGTCCCGATGGGCAGAAGCACATGGCAGCGGCAACGTTGGAAGGACATGTCTTCGTTGTCGGCTGCAGGGGGAGCTGACTATTTGCAAGCAGTTGCAATCATCAGTGACTTTTTCGTTTGAGTGCCTTTGACCATCGAGCTGCTATTCATCCTGAATCGTTCTTTGACGGCCCTTGGGCCCGGAGATGAGCCCACGGGGACCGAAGTTTGCCGACAGCCGTCCGTCGTGACTTATCCACGGCGCGAGGAGGTCTGAGTTCCCCCCCCCCCGCAGGACAAGGGTCCGACCAGGGCCGCCTGCCTGCGCGTGTTCCAGATGGCCTGCGAGATCGTCTCCAACGGCTGCGGGGCGGGCACCAGCCAGCTCAAGTCCGAAGGAGCTTCAACGGGCACGGGCGGGCACCCAGACCCCCTGGCGGGAGGTGGACTTGATCTGCGATTGGGGATCGTCGAGCCCCGAGGTTCGAATCATTGTTTATGCTTTCTGGCCTTCCCTGAGCCTCTGGGAGGCTTCTCGTCGCCAAGGCTGGGTCCGCCACGACAGAAAAGTTTTGGCAGTTCTCTGGGTCTTGAGGGGGCCCGGGGCCGTCAACGAACGACTCAGGATGGATGGAAACCCAGCCCGAGGCCCTTGGGGTCCGCGTTGCCACCCAGTCATTCGACGTCGGGGGTCTGGGACGGGATGGAGAGTGGCCGAATGCAGGAGGGGAGGAGGCGGAGGAGGAGAGGGGATGGGGTGGGGGAAGGGAAAGCGTGGAAGACGCGAAGGGGGGTCGGACAGAGGTGGCGCGCTCCATGGGGCCGTTGCTCGCATCCGTGAGGCCCGAAGGAGCAGGATGGCTCACGCGGCGGACGGTGCACCCCTGCTGCAGGGCACGGTCGGCACACAGGCGCCGAGCTCCAGCACCTTACGCGAGGGATGTCGAAATCCTGAATTTCGAGGATGTCTCAGGCGAAACGGGCAGGACCGCATCCCGCGGAGCATTTCGGAGCGCAGAGTTGCGAGATGTCTCAAGTGAAATGGCTCAGGCAGCCTCGCGCGTGGAATGTCTCAGGCGAAACTGAGCTCAGCGCAGGGTTACGATGATGGTATTAGGCGAAGCGGGCAGGACCGCCTCGCGAGCGGCATCTCGGAGCACAGAATTGCAAGGATGTCTCAGACGAAACGGGCTGGGCCGCCTCGCGAGCGGCCTCTCGGAGCCGAAATGCATGAGGATGTCTTAGGCGAAACGGCAGGACCACCTCAGGAGCTGCATCTCGGAGCCAAGAGTTGCCAGGTTGTCTCCGGCGGAATGGGTCCAACCACCTCGCGAGTGGCATGTGGAAGCCGAGAGTTGCGAGGCGCGTATCGGGCAAAGGGGGCCAGACAACCACGGAGCCCAGAGTTGTGAGGATGGCTGAGGCGAAACGGGCTGGGCCGCCTCGCGAGCGGCCTCTCGGAGCCCAGAACTGCGAGGAAGTCTCAGGCGTATGTGTGACGCACATATCAATCAATCAATCAATCTCTGAGGGGCAGTGTTCAGTCAAATGTTCAGTCTCTAAGGGCCAGTATGTCTGACGCACATATACATATATGTATACCTCCGCATTCATACCACCGTTTTCTCTATCAGTTTTGTTGGTCCTTGCCGCCGACCTAGCGCTTCCCTCGTTTTACTGTTTGATCATCGCTGCCACTCCGAATTCATCGTGTCGGCCTTAAGCCACCCTGTTCGTGGAACAGACATTGCCAGATCCACTCAGGAGTTGCCTTGTTCATCAAGCCCTGGTGCGCGTCCTTGCCCGCATTGAACTTCTTCCAGCCGCGGAAAGAGCTGTTTGCGCGCTTCCGTTCTTTGTGCAAGGTGAGCGGTCCAATTGACGAGTTGTGTCACACCACTTGCTTTTGTCTGCGTTGTTGTAAAGTGCACTCGCAGGCTGACACGGGGTCAGATCGTCGGCACCACGAGCTCAGGTGTACATCACCATCGTGTGATTCTGAAACTGTCGTTGCAAAATGCACTGTGCAAGAGTTCCATCCCCTCTCGCATGGGAAAGACAGTCAACATGACCATAGTCGAATATTGATGTGGTCGAGCCAGCATTATGAGCAGAGAGTTGTAGTGACGTTATGTTAACCCTTCGTCATTGAAGGCGAGCTGCAAGCGCATCTTCGATGACATTGACAGCAAGGCAGGTCGCGCAAGCATTCCAGCATCGGGCTGCGCTTATCCTGCGCGTTCACCACGGGGGCATGATGACGGAGGTATTTGAAGCGGGGGAAGGCCGGAAGGGAAGCCATGACGGCATCATTGTTTCTTTTCCGTGTCTGTCTTGTGCGTAATCGGTTCTGTTTTAGCCCGAAGTTTGCTGCAGCGCGTGGCTACGCCCATTGCCTCGGCTGGTGTTGCTGGCACGAGGTTCAAGAAAAACCCTAGTTCGGGAGGGATGTCCTGATGTGTTTCGTGTCTGGGCCGTCCACCTGAGAATGCTCTTCGTCTTGGGCATATCCAGCGGACATGGTGTCTTGGGTGGCGGGGTTCATGTTCGTAGGAGTGGGAGCACCAGGAGTATAAGTAGCAGTACGAGCAGTAGTAGAAGCAGTCCAAGGAACAGTCGTGAACGCATCAGTAGTCGTAGTCGCACTCACTGGGGCACACGCGTCGTGGGTTGCACCCTCGCCGGCCAGACGAAGACAGCCGTAAAAGACCATGGTCGTGTGGCCGCTGGCCGCTGGGGCAGGGAACACCCATCCCCAGTGCATAACAACAATCAGAGTTGTACCACACATGAACGATTCTGGACTACTCAAGGCCTGATGATGACAGCCAGGCCCCACTGGCCTTTCAGGTGCAGAGAGGTGGGTCACCTCGTTGCGAAATGTGTTTTTCTGAGGCTGTGCGGGTACATCTTGCAGCACGCGGAACAAGAACCGAACAGGTCAGACTGACCATTCCTGACGGTGTTTTTTGCCAACCGTCGCAGGGCGATGTTGTGCGTGGCAGTACTCGTGTGCATTGCCAGGGGGGCCAGCCACCTATCACAAGCCGTCCCTTGTTCGCGGAGCTTATGCCGCGAGGGCCGATCAGGATGCACCACATGACGCTTTCCCAGAATGAGCCTTGACCGCACCCCTCCAATGCGGCGAGGACTGTAAAGTCAGGGATTTAGGCTTGCACTCCCTGAGTTGGTTGACACGGACTGCCGTCACGGAACACATTCGTTTGCCGGAGGCCCCCTCTACTTCCTTGGTTTTGATGCCCTCCCCCTCGACAGATATTGCCAGCAGCAGCTTACCCCTGGCCACCTCGAGGAGGTGTACAGTATGAGTTGTGGCCAGGATCTCGCGGCACCCGTGCAAGCTTGTGTTGCCGACGTGTCGCGAGATGTCGTTGCATAACTTAACGCATAGCAAGCATGCCCATGCACGCCGCCTGTGTACGGTCAGTCGTTCGTCATCTTCTGCCAGCCCTTGTACCCAAACTCGGCATTGCCCGCTCTCCCCGGCTGGCAGGCCATAGGGACGGCCGATATGCGCGTGCTGATGGAGGTTGCGAAGGGACTCCCAGCCGAGTCGTGCCGCCAGGACAGCCGCGAAGCCACAGCAACGGCAGGCGTGTTTCTTTCGCCGTCGTCGTCGTGTGAGGGGCAGCAGCACGCGTAGCAGGACTGCCCAAGAGGGCCTCTGGCGAGGTTCACGACGGCAGAATGGGGCCCACAAGCGGCCCGTGAAAGGTTGCACCAAGCCCCTCACAACCCCACGAGACCCCTATGAAGGCCCAGAAGACGCCCCATACGAGTCAAAGACGTCCCAAAAATTGGCCCGAGGCAGCCCAGTAGGCACTCAAAACAGCCTAGTGAACCTACAAAGGGCAGTTGTAGTTAGTCGAGTTCGCCACGAGGCTTCCGGATGCTAGGAACTTGAGCGCGCACGATGGGTCCAGCGGCACAAATATCAAGTTGCTTGCGGCAAGTCCCGCCACCGTGCCAGCCTGCATGCTGGGTGGCGACTGTTCGAGGGGGCAAGGGAGACCGTCACGCGAGGCACTCGTGTCTTCAGGCTTGGGAGATCTGTGATGATGATGCTGATGATGATGCTGAGGATGATGAGGATGATTAGGACGATGAGGATAATTTTGATTATGAGGATGATGAGGATGCTGAGGATGCTGAGGATGCCGATGATGATAAAGATGGTGGTGGTGGTGATGAGTAGGAGGATGATGTTAATGATGCTGATGATGACGACGACGACGACGATGATGATGATGATGATGGTGATGGTGATGGTGATGGTGATGCTAATGGAGATGGTGTTGGTGAGGGTGATGGTGATGGTGATGGTGGTGGTGATGATGGTGATGGTGGTGGTGATGGCTGTGATGGTTGCAGTGATGATGATAAGAATGATGCGAGTGATGATGATGTTGATGCTGACATTGGTGATGCTGATGCGGATGATCACGATAGTGCTGATGCTCATGCTGGTGATGGTGATGGTGATGGTGTTGAGGGTGATGACGCGATGATGCTGATGATGATGACGATGATGATGATGCTGATAATGTTGATGATCATGATGATGATGATGATGCTGATGATTTTCATTAGTGTTATCATTACCATCCTCATTATTAATAATATTGTCATGATTGGGAGGGTAAGGACGATGCTGGCGATGGTAATGATGAGGATGAGGGGTAGGATGAGGATGAGGAAGAGGATGATGGCGGTGCTGCTGATGCTGATAATGATGATGGTGATGAAGATTATGTTGATGTTGATGGTGATGGTGTTTTTTGAAGGTGATGGTATGATGGTGGTGACGGTGATGGCGATGGTGATGTTGGTAACGATGATAATGTCGATGTTCATGATGTTGGTGGTGGTGACGTTCGCAGAGGTGGTGGTGATGATTGTGATGCCGATGTGATTATGATGATGGGGATGGTGGTGGTGGTTATGGTGATGGTAACGATGATGATGATGGTGATGGTGATGGCGATGGTGATGGTGAACATGATGATGATGACGACGACAATGACGATGACTCGCTTATGATAGTCATGCTGGTTTTGATGATGCTGATGATAGCGATGGTGGGAATAATGATGCTGATGCAGATGGCGACAATGATATTAGCTGCCATGCGGTACGTGCACCATCCTCGAGCGGACGCGCGTGGAAGCGGGTTCAGGGATCAGCTGCCATGGGAGAAGTGCAACATCCTCGAGCGGGCACGAGGGAAGTGGCCTCGCAAAGGAGGGGCGGTGCACGCAAGATTCTACTAGTAGAGTGAGGGGCAGTTCCGTATTAGAGCCCCCCCAAAAAAACACCAGGCAGACTTTGGCATATTCCACGCCTCAACGTGCCAGGGGGAACGGTCGCAGATCCAGCCGCGTCTGGCAATTCCGCCACCGTGTCAGAGCAGCCTTCTGGGTAGCAAATATTCGGCAGGGCACGGGAGGCCGTCACGTGTTACACATCGGGCCTCTCGAAGGTCCTGGAAGTGTTGGTTGGGAGCCTTTGGGGAGCCTCTTGAGGCCTGCTGGGCAGCTTCTCGGAGGCGCCCCGGCTCCTTGTGCAGGCTAGGAGCGCTCTTAGGCCGATTGGGCGCATGTTGACACAGTCTTGGGATCTCTGCGGGCCCTCTTGGGGACCTGGAGGGCCGTCGAAGGGCCCCCTGGGCCGACTTAGGGTCCTCTTCGACTGCTCTTGGGCCACTGGAACCTCTTGGGCCGTCTTGGGGCTCTCTTGAGAACCTCGTGGCCCATCTTCAGGCCGTCTTGGACTTCCTTCTTGGGCCGTCTTGAGCTCACGGAAGCCTGAAAAGATGAGAATGCGGAAATCCATCAAACAATTTCAACAAGATGAATGATGTTGGATTTTTCGGGCCCTGCTGGAGGTTTTCCTCGAGCCCTCTGAGGCCGTCTTCAGAGCCTCAGAGGGCAGTCATGAAGACATCGTAGTCGGTCTTGGGGCTAATTCTGTCGGGCCATTTTGGGAGCATCTTGGACATGTTGGACGCCTTGGGGAGCGCCGGGGAGGCGTTGGGGCTCCCAGGGACCCTCGGGAAAGGAGGGTGGCGCATGCACCAGCCCGCGAGTAGAGGGGGAGTCCCTTTAACTATTAGACAGACTTGTGGAAGACGAACAGTGGAAAGCAGGCATTTGTTCAAATAGTTCCAGATCGTTTTAACCAAATTTATGGTAAGCATATTCAGAACATGTAACCTGTATGTTAAAGCATGTCCGAACACGTGCAATTCAATGCGATGACGATTAGAGTGTCCATTGTCATGGCATCCGCAAACAGAGACCCTACCAGGCAGCACCTGGCACTATATCACGCCTTAACGTGCCAGGGAGACTCGGTGGCAGATTTTGCGTCAGTCAGTACAGCTTCAATATCGTAGTACTCGCAGAGGGGAGGTGCTGTTGGCCGGGTCGCGCGACGATGTGAGGAACTCAGGGGGGGTTCGGCGGGCAAGATTGGGCGAATGTTGGGCAGGGGTCAGACAGGGTACATCCATCCCGAGGCGATCGATCCGATGTGATCTTTTTCGGCCAGCCCGATCCAATTCGATTACCACATTCTGACGATCCGATGGTGCTTGGTGATTGCATTGTTTTGTTGTGCATTTGGATGCGGCCGATTCGATTTGATTCCAGCTCCGTGCCGATGCGGCCCGATTCGATACATGTTCCAATCCGATCCAAGTCATCGGTGCGATGCTGATTGTTCCTGGGCCAGAGTTTGTGCACGACTGTATCCTCCACGAGACATCGTGTTCCCGAGGTGCCTTCCTCCCCACACGCTGAATGCGCGCTCTCTCTCTCTCTCTCTCTCTCTCTCTTCGGCAGCCACAGAGGTCCCCGAGGTCTCCCAAAGGTACGAAACCGAAGGGTCCCCCGAGGAGTACGGAGGCCGCGGGAGGCGTCCTGGTGCCCAAGTAGAACCTCAACGCGTCCAAGACAAGAGCCATCGTCCTGGATGATTAGGCGCCCTCCCCCCGGCCAGGACGACGAGGGCCTGCTGCCGCCGCTGGACTGGTCGTTAGGCGCGCCCTGCGCCCCCCAGCCAGCGCTCGGAGCAAGAAACCGCTGGCCCTGGCACCTGCGGTCCCGTCCTTGACCGGGGGCACCGCCATGCAGGAGGTTCGCACGGAGACCAACGCGCCACGAGCACAAATGCTCGGAGGTCTGCACGGATTCCTTGGCTCTGCGATGGACCCCTCCTCCCCGCGCCCGAAGCGGCGCCTCCGGCGCCGCCCCCGCCGTCAGGCGCCGGGGAAGGGGTGCGGGGACGGGTGCCCAGGCGCCGACCCGAGATGTCCGGGCGGACCTCCAGCAGAAGGTCATGTTCATTGCAGCGGGGAAGGAGCGAGGATGGAGGATAGAGTGAGGGGGGAGGACGGGGGGGAGGGCGGGAAGGTGTGAGGGAGGAGATGGGGAGAGAGGCTCGAGAGGGAGGGACGAGGAGGAGGAGGAAGGTGGTTTCGAGGAGGCTCGAAGGGGTCTCGGCGTGCCCTCGGCAGCGCAGGGGACTCCAGGGCGATGGGGTGGCGAGGGGCGGCCGCGAGCCTGCAACGTCGCCGCCCCGCCAGCCCGACCTGACTCCCCCGGGGGTCGGGCGCGGGTCCGCGGGCTGCGTTGCAGGAGCGCGCAGGTGGTGGCGCACTCGCACCTCCCCAGAGATCCGACGCTCCCAAAAAGTTGGAGCGGGCGGTTGTTGGGCGATTTCGGCCTCTGGGGGGCCTCGCTGGGACTCGGGACCGTCAAACAATGATTTAGGACGGAAACCAGCCCTGGGAAGGAAAGCGGTCCAGATCTCCAGGGCCCACGCATCGAAAACATTGGAGCAGCCGGACGTTTGGATCCCCTGCTCGCCACCGTTCCTCCATGTCTGCCCCCCTCCCTCTCCATGATCCTCTTTCCCCGCTGCCTTTCATCCGCAGGCGACATGTGTGCAGCGTGCCGCGTTGGCGTGTCTCGAGGCGTCGTCGATCCTTGGCTCAGTAATGGCACGGTACATAGTCTCTTGGCCCCTGAGAGCCAAACTACTACGCACCGTACCGCGTTGGAGCGGGGCCAAAAGGAGCCCAAACATGGTACGGTGCATAGGTGCCGTTCTCGTATTTCCCCCTCCTCAACCTTCAACCCCTATCAATCTCCATTATCAGCCTCGGGGGCACAAAAGCAATCGCGCATCGCGCCCGTCGCTACGGTTTTGTTCGGGATTGCTATCGGATCGCTTCGCGCGGCGAGGCGATGGCGACAGGGCGGACATTGGCATCCCAGAGATGACTGCCATCGATCACGAATTAATCGCGTGCAGGAGTGGCGCGTGCTCCCCAGATCGATCCATCACTTTCGCCTCACGATGGGCATTGGCAGCCCGTCTTGATTATGGTGGGCGTTTCTGGGTATGTCGCTGGACGTTGCATGGTAAGCGGTGCATTATGAGAAGAGGCTCGTAGCTAGCATTGCAAACATGTCGGTAAGTTTCGTCGTGGTCCAGTTGCGGATTGATTACGTGTTCAAGGTGCGGTGGCGAGCTCGTTCATGATTGTCTCTCTTGTTCCAGCAATCTTTGTACCTGCAGCTCACTGGAGCCATGCTGCCCTGTAGTAACGGTCCTTGCTTGTTCGAGGCATTTGCTCGCGTTCGTTACAAGGGGAGTTGGGTCCCAGCTCGGCCACACGGGAGGAACTGACCTTTTTTCTGATGCGTTGTCGATCGATTGTGCAGACAGAAAGTGTTCTAAGCGAGCCAGCGAAGCATTCGCCCGCCTGAGACATTCGCCTTTTAATCAGCAGGTGCCCGGTTGAATTGCTAGAACTCACGCGTTGAACGGATACATTCGCCATTGGAAAGGTGTTCAAGCTTAGGGTGCCATTACTTAGCATTTACTGTGCAACGTGTTGGCTGAAGTTTGTGGGCTAAGGGCTAAGGAGTATATCGTATGGCGTTGGCTTCATTATGTACGATGAGGCAGACTGGAAGTGATGGCGTATTATTGCGTTGAGTCCGCGAACTGTGCACGGTTCAGTCTAAGCACAACGTGTGTTGCTTATCTACCATCCTTCACTCATCGGCAGACCACTCCGAATTTCGTGCAATATAATAACAGACCTACTGCAACTCCGCTCACTTTCGGCGACGCACTGATACAGCAGCATTTGCATACTCGTATTGTAGACCTCACGCTTTGAGTAGGCGAAGGAGGGTGTTGCTTCGTTACCCCTGCTGGTGGCGGCAGTGCGCCAATCGTCGTTTCTCAGTTCGTTACGTTGTGTTTACGGATGCCCCGCCCCCCCTTCTGCATTCGCACGAACCCATCTTATTACCACGCTTACTTCCTTGCACAGGTCGCTGGCGCCCGCCCCTCATTCGGGCCTGTACGGCGTCAAGTTGAGCACACCCAGCGGTGCCCTCATGCAATCGTCTTTTCGCGCCTCGGAAGTTGCAGACACGCACTTGGTTCCTCGCATCAGCGCGGGAACACGTATGTGTTCACACGCTTGCGTGAACGTCTGTTTCATCGAGTGTGCGTGTTGGTGTGTAAACGTGTGTGTGTGTGTGTGTGTGTGTGAGTGAATGTGTGCCCCTTACTGTGAATGCGTGTGCGTAGAACCGTTAGTGGTCTCTGAGAGCTCGGCTTGGCGTAGACGCGCGCGCTCCGACGTTTGCATTCGACTTGCTAGGCCCCGTCGTCGCGCGCGGGGCCGCGACGCCAATAATATGTGTGAATGCGTGTGTGGGTGAATGTGTGCGCGCGTGTGTGTGTGTCGTATCCTGGTCCTTCTTTTCCGCCCTGCCTGCCGCTCGTTTGACTCAGCTTGCGACGGCCGCGACGATCGGCGCGTGGCCGCCGATGTAGAAGTGTGTGCGTACGTGTGTGTGTGTGTGCTGGTTTGCGCGAGGGTGTTGTATCAGTGTGTGTGGGTGTGCGTGTGTGGGGGTATTCTTCGTGTGTGCGTGTGTGTTATTGTCATGTGCGCGCTGCGCACGTGTCAATGTGACGCCGACGATTGAACCACTCAGGACACTCTCCCTGCTCGCCATCGCGCTGGACGGCGTGTTCCAGGCACCGTCAATACTCGTTAGTAGTAGTGTGGTTGAGAGACAGTGTTCGATGTTGTTCGTCCTTGAGAGCGTTTCCATGTAATGGTGACACTCAGCAGCACGACCCGTCGAGTTCTGCAAAGTGGTATGCTCCGTTGCCCGCAGTTGCGCTCTGACGGGGGGATCAGTGAGGGAGGACAGCAGTTTTGGACTGTCTCTGGGTGCGTGGCTGAAGTGGGGCTCCTCGGTGCAGATTTTCATTGTTGTATGTCGCCCCACCCCGCGATCCACCCACGACCCACCCAGCGACCCACCCCGCGACCCACCCCGCGACCTACCCCGCGACCCACAAGCGGGCTCGTTGTGTAATACTTTCGGCATAATTCGGCACCTGCCTCGGGCTTCTTCATATGTGCTCTAGATCCAACTGCCGACGAACCCCAGGCACTCTTGCCCTCAATTGCGGGACGGCTATGACCTTCTTGTCTGTTGGTGACAAGTTTGGTTAAGGTGTGTCCAGGGTGCCACGCTTGACGTAAGGTTGACCCTTCATTGCAGACGGCGCCAGCCTAGCCCAGGGTCGCGCTGCTCCCTCCGAGCAGCGTCACGTCTCGTCAAAGAGGGGATGTTGTCGTTGGGGTGTCCGATCTTTTCTCCTCAGGAAAAAACTTGGCGAATAACCCAACCCGTTTGTGCATAAGGGGACACGAAACGTGTGAGGGGTGTGCCGACATTGTTCCGAGTCGCAATGCAGACGAAGCCTTTGGGGCCTTAGGGGTGGAGCTCCCCATGGGGCCACGAAACGTTTGAGGGATGTGCGGGAATGAACTCGAGTCGCCATGCGGACGCAGCCACTGGGGCCTTGGTTGGAGCTCCCTATGGGGCCACGAATCGTGTGAGGGGTATGCCGAAATGAATCCGAGTCACCATGCGGGCGCAGCCGTTAGAGCCTTGGGGGTGGAGCTCCATATGGGGCCATGAAACGTTTGAGGTGTCTGCCGAAATGAGCCCGAGTCACCATGCGGACGCAGCCGTTGGGGCCTTGGGGGTGGATCTCCCTATGGGGCCACGAATCGTGTGAGGGGTGTGGCGAAATGCGAAGAGAGAAGATGAAGAGGAAGAGTAAGGGAGGGAGGAAGAGGAGGAGGTAGGAGGAGACGCGCTGCGCTGCGAATTCAAAACGAGGACCCAACGCACCGGAGAGTTGAAGAAAAACGTGACGCCGCAGACGGGCAAATGGCCCCATGGACTTGGCAAGAGGTCGGAGAGAGAGGCGACAGAACGAGCTGTTGCACCAGCGCCCCTCATATCCACCTGCGCCGCCGCGTGCTTCCGCCCCCCCTTACCCCGCCGTGTGAAAGGAGGTCGTGGGAGCGGATGGGGAGGACGGAAGGCTCTTGTGCGCTCGTCTTCTTGGGGGGACTTTCTTGGCGAGACTCTGCTTGCACAAGGCCGGGCCTCCGGCCTTAATGGAACCCCACCGAAAATTGCCACTGCAGTGCCTGTCTCTATCGGGCATCGCAACATTGCCCCCGTCGGGAAGCGTTGCGCTCCCTAGGTCGCTGGCCAAATTGTTCGTCAGTGGAGTCCCCCCGTCAGGGCGGCGCTGAGGATGTGTTTTTGAAGGGCGTAGTGCGATTTCTGGGGGGTGGGCTTCTGAGGGGCCTGCCCAGAATTTCAGTACATGTGGTTTCACTTCGCTGGAGGGCCAGACCACACGCGATGACGTGGATGGACAGGTCGGCATATGCTGGCATCTACGTGCTGGAGGCCTCAGTTGTTGTCACGCGCGGGACAGACGAAAACAGAAACACGGTGTTCGGCCAAACGCTATGGCGATGACTATTGCAGAACGAACCTTGGTAGTCGCTGCAGAGAGTTCCTCATGCTTCAGTTGCCAGCGCCTGAGCCAGTGGATGCCCCACTCTTCCTGATCTTGGCCACTTTTCACTCCTCCCTCAGTCCTCCTCCTCCACCCACGTCCAGCCACTACTTTCACCTGCGGTCTGCGTGAGAGAGGTTTGGCGAGATGGGAGAGGAAGCGAGCTCGTTGACAGCACGCCCAGGAGGAGCGAGGACAGCAAGTCAGCACAACAATATTCTCGGAGGCGGGGATCCAGCAAGAAGGCCAAGGGAACGGAGTTGGATGAGGACGAGGACGACGAGGTGGACGGCGCCATGGCCATCATGTAGGCGCTGCTGGCACAACTCGAAGGGCGAGTTCGTGCACAGGAGAACGAGGTGCAGGTCACGGTTCTGATTCCCAAGAAGTCGTCATTGGCAACCTCCATCAGCAAGTCGTTCCAGGCGTTCGTGAACAAGCAACAGGAAGGCGAGATACCAGCGTTTCATTGTTTTTGTTCGGGGGCTCTTGACGCTATCTTGAGCTACGAGCCCAGGGACGCCTCCCCGAGGTTCGCCGAGGTGTTGATGGCGCTCCAGCGTCTCAAGGTGATGCTGGAGGCAGGAGGCCCGAAGGAGGCGGAGAAGTGGATTCGAGAGCTCAACGCTCTCCCGACGTACGACAGGCCAGAAAGGAGAGCAAGGTCCGTCGTATTCGTCAGTTTCCGAGGTGATACGTTGTTGGCGAAGCTGGAGGCAGAGAACGACGAAATTATGAAGGCCATCGAGCTGATCTCGCTTCCGCTCCGCACTCCCAGCCCGACGGAGACGCCCACGGCGATGCACAAGCTGCATGAGACGATGGTGCCAGTGGAGACCGTGTTCGCGGAGAGCCTCAAGAGTCCCGGCGGCGTCATGTTGGGAGGCAGGGCGCCGAGAGGCAACATGGTCAGGCAGATTCGGCGTGGAGTTCGGGGCGGTAGAAGTAAAGGCAATGAATCGTGAGTTGGCATGGCATCCAATATGGGGGGAGCTTAACGAAGGTGCCAGAGCGCATGTCATCATAACGGAGTGCCGCAAGAAAATTTGGCCATTTTGACGGTGCAAGCGGGAGCTTAGCTCGATGTTTATGTACACGGCATTCTCTCCAAGGGCCGTTTAACGGAGCATCGCAACGATGTGTGGCCAGTTTCTGCGGTGCAAGTGGGAGCCGAATCCAGTGCTTGAGTGCATGATTACTTCAGGGGGGTCGACGGTGTCAGTGGTTTCATATCCCATATTCGATGCGCAGTGCCTTGACGCGGTGAGTCACTAATGTGAACGGCTCTTTCCTCCACGCCCATTTCACAGAGTGCGGCAACCTCCCCATTTGATGTGATTGACGAGGAACGCGTTGGCTACATGACGCATGCTACTATATTGCAGGTAGGCGACAGGTACTTCACTGCGAGAGGGGCGCATCCGACGTGATCCCCCCAACCACGAGCACGTTTTATGTGAAATTCCTAAAGGCTTGCTTGAAAGGGGGGGATGGAGTCAGAGAGAGGGAGAGAGAAAAAGAAAGAGAGCGAACGAGCAAGAGAGGGAGAGAGAGAGAGAGAGAGAGACAGAGAGAGAGAGAGAGATAGAGCGAACTCCTCCTCCGCATCATCACCATCATCATCCTCATCGTCATCCACATCCCTCCCTCCATCCCGTTTGGGCTCTGCCCTGTTTGCGTGAAAGTTGCGTTCCCGTCCGTCCTGCGCCGTTGGGTGGTTCAGATCTTGGAACCACTTCAATTACCTATATGGATTGTTCGTGTTGCGCGAGCCTTGTATTCTGACATTCTGGTTCGTGTGTCGTTTCAATGGCTGTGAAGATCACTGCTTTCCTCTGGAGCGTGGGGTAAAATAGGGAAGCCCGCCGAGTGGGTTCACATTCTCGTCACTTTTGGACCCGATCCTGAGAAGCATGGAGTCGTGGGTCTGCGCTGCTTGGAGCGGCGGGCCTGGTGTTCCATTCCGCTGGGTGATAGTGCACGGGATGTCCTGGCTCGTGGGGTCTAAGTTTCACAGTCAGTTTTTTGAGAGTTTCTATTGGTCATGGTCAAGGGCGTAAAACAACGCCTCTACTCTGGTTTACGAGGCGCTGTGCGCTGAGCCTCCTGTGGACAAGCCCTGCGTATCGCGCGTGTCGTGTGGCGTCCTGGCGGCTCGCTGGCCTCTGGGGTTCCCAGGAAGTAAGTTTACAAACCGCGCACTTGTAACCCAGGGGAGGGGCGTTTTTTCATCCCTGAACATGGGGAAGATACGGTGACTTGGCACAAGCCACTCGCCAAGTGTCGCCGTCGTGGGCTCCTGATAAAAAAGGCACTAAAGAAGGCCCTCGTTGGCAACAGTGTGACCTACAAAACGTACGTGCCAGCTGCACTACCGCACGCTCTGCAATTCTACCCGCCAGGCAGCAACGGCTTGAGAAGAGAGAGCGAGAGAGAGAGAGAACAACAGCAAGGCAGAGAGAGATCGGGAGGCAGAGAGAGAGAGAGAGATGTGGTTCAACGGCCCACTGCTTCGCCGCGGTTCTCGATCACACACACTTGCTGAGCGAGTCGAAGGAGGGTTGTTCCTCGGTCGAGGTGCGGAGTGTCCCGTTGGTGTGCGGGGCTGTCAGGTACTCCGCGGCCTGTTACTCGTCTGCCTTCCGTCGTGGACGCGAGTGCCTCGAGCGTGCTGCAAATAGTGATGAGCGGACGCTGACCCCGAGCTTCCACAAACGGCGCGCACTTGACACTACGTACCAACTGATCGAGTTGTAGGATCGTGCGTGGTTTGTCCCGAGGGTTCCGCGGGCCCCTTGTTCGGAGCTTCGAAGAAAACGGAGCGCGCCTTGATACCTTCGCACTGTTCAGAGAATCATGTGCAGCTGTTCTGTTGCCTAGGTTCCAGTACTGGCCCCATGAGGCCCCAATGTCTAGAGTTGACGATTGCATGTCCCAGCTGACGTTTATTTATCGGACCCTTTCCCGAACTTGTCGATGTTAGTGTTTTGAGCACTGTTTGTCATTCCGGGGTGCGCATCCCGACGGTTCCGACAGGGGACCCTTTCCTGCAGATTCGGGCGCCAGGCCGTCGGGTGTTTTCGCCTCCGCTGCTCTGCGTATCCTGCCTTCTCTCCCTGCTTCTTGGTCCTCCCATTCCT